TTTTTGTATTGGAGCATATATGAATTTTTCCTTTAATTCTCAATGATTGAGGTCATGCTTCAAAGCCCAAACTAAGCTGCACCTTGGTCCATCTAAGATATTAAAGCTCAAGTTTAGTACAATAAGAGCTCGGACATCATTTATTTCAAAAAAAAATTTCTACATACTCATTTTTAATTTTTATTTGACCCCATTAAAATTATAATTCATTTTTTTATATCTTCTTATCAATCACACATTTTATAATAAAATAATGTTTATAATAATCTCAAAACTTATTTTTTTTTTTTAAACCACACATTCTTTTAAAAGTTACTATTCCAAAATACATTTTTTTTTTCAAATTCTCATTATAATGGGAGTCAAACAAGGACTTAACTACACATGCACACAATAAAATATTCTGTACATAAATTTCAAATTTTTCTTACTTTTCAACCACACATTGTTCAAAAAATATTATTTAAAACTTTTTTTTGCCAATCAATGATCATCCAATCAGAGCTAAATTCATTCATCAGCATACATAAGTTTCTTGAGAAAATTACTTTAAATCAACTTCCTTTAAAAGTTATTCTATTCATATAAAGTAATTAAAAAAATTAAAAATCAACTTCTTAATAAATAATTAAAAGCAACTTTTAGCTTCTCAAAAGTTTTAAAAAAAAATGAGCTCTTACTTTGTTTGAAGTATCAATGAAGCGTTATTTAAATAATCATGCTATTTGTAAATTTTGTTTGACATTATTATTGACATTTTGACACATGTCAGCACATGATTTGACAGTTTTTTAATTCAACACATTTTGTCGCCAAAGCTTATTAGAATTTGCATATAATGTCATTCAAATTGTCATCCATGGAATGTACAAGAAACTTTATTCTTATTTAAAACTGTATGCGTGAAAGCTTCAGAATTAGTAGGCTGAATGAGATGCAGTCCTAATTTGATCCCCATTATTTTCAAAATACATTTTTTTCTTTTCTTTTCAACCACACATCTTTGATAAAATAATATTACGTACAAATTCAAAATTTTTCTTATTTTTAATTACACATTCTCAATCAGTTTACTATTTTAAAATAAATTATTAGCTAAAATAGGACTCAAACAAGTGCTTACTCTTTATGATGCCCATTGTTTTAAAACTCTTTTGTTACAAAGTTATTTTTAATTACATATTCACACAATAAAATATTTTGTACTTAAACTCAAAAAATTTTCCTATTTTTTAAGTACGCGCGTTACTAAAATTATTGTTCAAAACTCCGTTTTTTTAAAAAAAAAATAAATAATGAACGGCAAACAATAGCTAGTGTAACCCATTAGAATTTTGTTGTTTGTACTTAGGCGTTAACACGCCCATCACAAGAAGGGGGGCCACGTCGATTAAAAAATGCTTGGACCCCCTATTGTGAGGGGCGTGTAATCGAACGTGTTAACGTCCGAATATGGTTGTCAATGGGGACGTCGTTTTTCCTTTTCTTTTTTTTAAACAAATAGGTAAATTGGAAAATAAAAAAGTAATTTTAATTTTTAAATCGTAAATTATATATAAAAAATTAGGTAAAAAATTTAAACCCTCCTCCTTTATCCGGGTTTAGGACTGACTACTTAAATTTAGAGTAGGCGGAGTTAAAAATTATGTTGTTTGATTGTTTGTTCGTGTACAATTTTTGAAAGAAAATTTAAAACAGTATTAAAAATTATTTTTTCAAGCAACGCTGTGCGTCCCCTTGCATATAATTTTCGAAGTAAGTCCCTTTTAAAAATTGAAAGGATAATCGAATGCCATTTCAATTGTCAAAAGTTTTCACTTCGAAAATTATATAGAAATCTTTCATTTCGAAGATTATATATAATTTTCGAAGTAAAAGACTTCTGACAATTGAAAGAGCAATCATTCGATTACCCTTTCAATTTTCAGAAGGAATTTACTTCGAAAATTATATGCAAAGCTACACATAGCGTTGCTCGAGAAAAAAATTTAAAATGTAGATATATAGTAGTAATAGTACCAAGTACTAACAAAAATTTAACTAAATTGGTGGAAATGAATTTTTTTTCTTTTTTTTTTTTAACTAAAAGAGATAGAAAAAAAATAAAAATGAAATCTTTATTTTTTTATTTTTCTTTTTAAAATAGATAAAATATAAACCCTCTTCCTTTATCCGGGTTTGGGACCGGCTACTTAAATTTTCAATAGGCGGAGTTAAAAATTGTATACGAACAATTTTTTGTAGCATGTACAATTTTTTAAAGAAAATTAAAAGTAATGATAAGAAAATAAAAGTTTCATCAATATAATTAAATCAAATATCACTTACTTGACGACATGCAATTTCGGCATATTTATCTTATAGTCGAAAATGAGCGTCCTGTCAATTCTTAACGCACATTAACGCTTCTAAAATATCTTTTTTTAGTCGGCTCCTGACCTCGCTCAAAACTCTTTTACCTACACTAAAAGTGGACTCCGAAGCAACAGTACTAACCGGAGATGTCAGCAGATCTTTATTAAACAAATACCCACCAAAATCAGGTTGCAGTACCCTATGCAATTTATCGGCAACTACTTTATTAACACTAGCATTATCGAAAGTAAATGAACAAATTTTACCTTCGCAATGATATTCTCTAACAATACTAATAATAGCATTAAATATATTATTAGCGTTGTGAGGAAACTCAATAATTCTAAAAGCAATAATTTTTTTATGATGCACCAAAGTGGGTCTATATAATGTGCAGTTACAGCTATTTATGCCCTTTTATTAATCCCTTCCCATATATTCGAAGTTAAAGATATGACACCCCCATATTTTTGCAAATCCATAATTAATTGTTGTTTGTTGAAGTAAAATATTGTATTGTATCGGAATGAAGAGTGTTTCGATTTACCCCAACGTACGTTGGCTGCAAATATTCTTTCACATACGAGACGTAGTGTTGGTTGTCAATTAATGTCAAAGGTAACTCAGCACCAGCAACAAGCTTCACCATTTCGGTTCGAGTTCTCTCCTCCGAATACACTCATGTGGATAGGGGTGCAGCAGAACCACCGGCGTCTGGACTGCCAAATTGCAATTGTGTTTGACAGCCTGAAATAAGTCCGTATTTAGCCGCACATACTTTGTAATGACGGTTGAGATGGGTGGTACCAATTCCTCTTTGCCATGCCAATTTTTGTTGGCAGTATTTACGTACTACTTTAGATTCTTGAAATCAACTTAAAGTGATCCCAACATTTTGCTTGTTTTTTCCCCTTCCGCTTTCCCCTCGCATCAGGAATGTTTAATTCAACATCTTCTTCCTGATCGTGTTCCGCTTCAAAAACGTCAACATTATCCAAATTAATTGAATAATTTGGATTGTCGCTTATATGATGATGAAGATCCAAATTTGGAATATCTTCAGGTAGGGGTACGTCATTTAGACCTTCAAATTGATTCTGAAATTGACTTTGCGGTATTATAGGCGGTTCATTTCCTCCCACACTGAACAAGTTTTCGACAAATGCGCGTGTATCCATTTGTTTAATTGTAATAAGTAATAACTAGTAAAAGAATAATTGTATAAATGTAGTGAAAAATGAAAATTGGATGAAATTTCAATAAATATAGTGAGAACTGAGAAATGAGAATTGGATATTGTATAAATTGTATATAAAAATTGTATATAAAAATTGTATAACTATCAACACAACACAAGAGAGTTGACAGAAAGATAATTGAGAGTTGAGAGTGAATTGTAGAAAATTTTGTGGTTAAATGCCACTATTTATAGAAGTAGGAAAAAAATAATTTAAAGGACCAAAACGGTTACTGTAAAAATTCAGTGACCGTTAACGATCACAATTTATAATAAAATAAAAAAATAATAAATAATAAATTAAATTTAGGGACCGAAAGTCACTTTATAAAACGAGCCCACGAGTCTAAAACGAGCCGCTCGCAGCTCGTTTATTTGGCGAGCCGAGCCCGCTTGGCTAGCTCATCGAACCGGCCCGTAAAAATACGAGCTCAAATCGTCCACGAGCTCTATTTTCGCGAGTCGAACGGACGAGCTGATGAGCCGCTAGGCTCATTTGCCATCCTTACGTCCAAATGCATATAGCACGAACCAACCCATTAATGGATACTTGAAAATTTACCTTTTGTAGATCACTGTTGGTCCAATCAAAGCACTAAATAGTGATGGTGAAAACTGTAAATATTGATTCTTTCAAAGAATATTTTGCTGAAATTTACTGCAATTGTTACCGCTACTGTACCTCCTATAAATTATAGTTTTTTCTTTCCCATCATCTTCAGTAACCTCTATGCTTTCTTTTAAAGATGAAACATAATATCCGAATATCTGAAATTGGATTCTTAAAATTACTTTTCCATAAATTAAGTGATTATCAATTTTTGAACAACGTTACCATCAATGCAATCAATCCAAAAAAAAGTAAAAGTACTTGCTGATTACTTCCTACGCCATAGGATTCTTTTCCCTTCGTCACTTTCCAAGTTATGATAATGTGAATTATGCCATTGTTTGAGCATTTTTTAACAATATTTTAAAATCATTTCAATTATACATTTTTCAATAAAATAATATCATACACAAATTCAAAAAATTTCTTTATTTTTTAACCACATATTTTTTATCAATACACTGTTCAAAAATTCATTTTTACCAAAAAAAAAATGGGGCTCAAAAAAGGACTATGTTAAATGTACATTGTGCTTGACATTTCATCCGAAAGAAATTTGTACAGTGATGTGATAGATAGATTCAAAATCAATAACTTTAATGGATTCATCTGAAAGAGTGTCAAAGAAGGTGCGGAGGAAAGCGTTTATATAACATGATTGTAAAACTAAACATAATAAATTCAGACAAAAATTATTTCATGTAGAAGAAATAGGTAAACAAGACTCTACCAAAATTTGGCTACATTTTGGCTGTGCATTTCACCGTGCTAGCCCGCTCAGGTCATCGATCAACCAAAAAACCATTGAACTCGAATGTCAATCATAAACGTGACAACTACGAGACTTAAAAAGAAAGGAAAAGAAAAAAACTAGAAAAACCTTATATTTCTAGTTTTATATTTTGAGAGGCATAGTTCAGCAAATGAGACCCTTTGGCAATTTTCAGAGAGCCACTTGGAGTGCATGTAACTAGGTTTCCTCCATGGAGGAATATGAAGACCTCTCTCTTTAAGGGACTGTTTGGCAGCAGAACAAACCAAAGAAATTAACTTTTCCAGCTTTTTGTCAATCCCAACAAATATCAAAGGAAGAGAGTTTATAAGTTCTGCATAACTTGATGTTGGCCTCGCTAATTCGAACTGTGACCTAAAATCTATATCAACAATTAATCGAATAGGTTGGCCTCCATTTATGTTGTCTTTCCTTATCATCACGTCCACATATTCATAATCATCTGTAAATTCAAACACTGCACAAACAAAGACACAATGTTAGAACCATGTGTGCACAATTTTCATAAGCAAGTTTCGGTTCTCTTATATTAAGGGTCCATTTGGAAGAACTTTTGAAATATCAAAAGCTATTTCTGAAATTAAAAGGCTGTTTTAAACATATTTGAATAATTTTCTGAAAGTGCTTTAACTTCCTCGTAAGCTCGTTACAAGAAACAGAAGCAAAAGCATTCACAAACGAGCATACATCTAACCATCTCTTTTGAAAGTATAAACTTTTAACAAACCTGAAGGCCCCCTAAAAGGAGTGATCCAAGTTGTCGTACAAAAACGAGCTTCATAATGATCCATTTCCAATCTGAAAGCAATCCATTTCTTCAACTGGTCGACTTTCTCCAAGGATTTCATATCTTTCAGATACAGCAAGATTTTCCCATACACCTCTCTCTCAGCATCAGTGGTATCTCCCAAGATTTCCTTAAAAAACACAGAGAAATCAATAAAGAAAAATTTCAAGAACTGATGAATGAGGAAAGTTACCTGTAAGGAGAAATAAGTTGGACTGTGATCAATCTGAATAGGTTCTGTAGAAGGAAAATAACAAGAATTTGCAACTTTAGGCTCTAAATCAACATAACCTTCAAACATTTGAGAAAAAATTTCTTCAGAGAAACTCATATTTCTTGCTTGTATATTGTTTTTATCTCATCTGCGACTGAGACCCACTGCCACATATTTTATAGGGATATAACTGTTGAGAAGAGAGAGTTAATTATTAGATGTCACCATCAGATCAGGGTGTAATTTTCTTTTTCTTTTTTTCTACTTTTGGTGCACTCCAAGATCGATTCATTTGAGTTTTTTGGGATAGATTTATTTTGGTGATTTGATATGGGAGTAGAGTAGAATACACTGGGCTCTAGGTCATTCATTATTTTCTGATTCTTTCTGTCAATACTTCTCCTCAAATGCAGACAGGCTTTTAAACGTAGTAAGTTATGAGGACGACAAGTACATTCCTGAATCATCACTGAAAGTACTCTCTTAACTCTATTTGCCACCTTGTAGGGGAGAGAAGTGTCGACCGTGTCTTGTCAAATCCACGTGACTTGATTTTGAAATATTTAACCCCTATTTCACATCAATAAAGCTATGCTATCAGATGGATCTTGTCCACTTAGATGATCGACCCTCACATTGACATGGAACACACGCCAACCCCACATAAATAAAAAATGTGAAAAATGACACTGCACCCACTTCGGCTGTGAGTATAAGTCAATTGAGGTATCAAAATAATTCTGACACTCCAACATGATTGATTTCACATTCATTAAATGATGTCTCTTTTATTATTATTATTTTTTTTTATCGAAAGTGAATTTTGAAATATTGATTCTTTTTAATACATATGAATAAAAAGTAAGAAAAATTTTAAATTTATTTACAAAATATTTTATTGTATGAATATATTATTGAAAATAAATTTGAAAAAAAAAATAGTTCAATTAAATGGATGTCAAACACAGGTTAGAAGTCTACTTTTTTGAAGAAATAAGATTGTGTTTAATATTTTTAAAATATGTGTCAGTCCACGGGAAATTCCCACCGTGACACAAATAAAATTTGCAGCTTATTTGGAAGTGATTTTTTTACTGTTATTTTACTATTTTAGTCGTCATATTTGACTTCTTCTCTCAAAGATAGATCCCAATTTTCTCTCAACGGTCAAAAAATCAATTTTTAAAATCACTCCCAAACAGGCTCTTGATTCTAAAAACATGTTAGGTCAATCCACGCTACATTTTTATTGATCGACCGATTAAGGCATGTACCACTAGTCACATATATAGATTTGTAGTCGTGTCATTCTTAG